CGGCCCTCCACCCACGCGTTCGAGGTTAAGGGTTCAAAAGGCTGGGCCCCAGGATATGGGCGGAAGCAACTTCGAATACTATTTTGGGGTTTTAGGGTTTAGGGTTTAGGGTTTAGGGTTTAGGGTTTAGGGTTTAGGGTATGGTATAATGTACTCCCAACCCCTGCTCTAATTATATTCAGGCCCCCTCTAGTGGTGTTGAGCGGACTTGATGCCTTCCACATCCGGGTGTTGTACTGTTAAAGTTAGTTACCCAATACCCAACCTTTAAACTTTAGTATCAATCCGAAAGTTTAACCCTTTATTTCCCTGGCCTATGTAAGTCATGTTGCAAAAGCATGAAAGCCTATCAACCCTGGACCCGACATCCCGAACCCTAATCTGTAATCCTAAACCCTAAACCCCTCAGCCCGAAGCCCTAAACCCGAAACCTGTCAACCCTTAAACCCCTAAGGCCATTCAGGCCTAAAGGGCCCTAATGCCTCTACGCTGAAGCTCCCTGCCCTCCTGTAGCCTAGAGCTGCTTGATCCTGGTCCTGGGTCGAGATGTCTCCTAGGGTTCAGGGTTCAGGGTTCAGGGTTTAGGGTTTAGGGTTTAGGGTTCAGGGTTTAGGGATCAGGGTTTAGGGTTCAGGGTATAGGGTTTAGGGTTGGAGTTTAGAGTGTTAGTGCATGCTCTCTCTGAGGGGTCCTCATTATGGTCAAATTATCAGATACCACAAACCCCAATTAATATGATTTCTACTGATGAAGGCCCCGGTATTCGGAGTTTCTGAAGATTACAAGATCCCGTTTCTAAGCCGAAGCCCGAAACCCTGAAGCCCAAAAACGATTTCTGCTCCACGATGAAAGCCTCCAGTACAACTTCTACGCTCACTCCTAACCCGATCCCCCGTAAGCCGTATATGAACGCATGGAAAAGCCAGCAGTAGCAGCTGGAACAATCCAAGAGCATCCGTTTAGAACCCTACAAAACCACATGAAGCCCTCAGTAAACCCCAAACCCCAAGCCCCTAAACCCTGAACCCCTGAACCCTAAACCCAGAAACCACTATGCCCTGAACCCTTAACCCTTAAACCAGCATAAAAGCCACAGAAGCCCGGTGGAACCCTTGAGGTTTCCCAAGATCGGAGTCTTCGGCATCGCACTGATTGGCGTGATCTTCTGGAACATCAAGAAGGCCCCAGAGAACCCAGTACCCCTTAAATAGGGAATATACCTTAAACTATAGGAGCCTTAATATTATGGTTTAAGGCATATTCCTTAATTAAGGGGTATTTATTGGGTTCTCTGGGGCCACTGTGTGCCTTAAAGCATTATAAGGTTGGCAGGGTTTGATGTTCTAGGTTTTAGGTTTAGGGTTTAGGGTTTAGGGTTTTTGAGCTTTGAGGGCCTTAGGTTGAGGGTTTTGAGGGTTTAGCGAGGAATAGAGTATGCCGTATACCTTGAATGAAGGCCGTGTGGGGCGTCTTGCTATGAAGAAATTCCTTAAGTACTGGGTATTGGGAAGGCTCTACAGATCACAACTGACATGAGCTCGGTCTTCTCCAGTGCGCTGCAAAGTGCCTGGAAGAAGGGTGAGTTTTGCTTGCATGTATGTTTTATTCTTATCCTTACTTTCTGATCTCTTTCTTTGTGTGCGTTTTTTTGGTGTTGCTACATATGGAGCTGTTGCAGTCACTTTACCGCTCCTGGCTTCGAGGCAGCTTCCTTTGTATGGGCGCGGGCAAGATGCCAAGACGACCAAACTGTTGCTGCCTAAACCCTAAACCCTAAACCCAAAACCCTAAACCCTAAACCCTAAACCCTAGGACATGTAATTACTTCGACCACAGAGCACAACTTTGTGATACTTCAGCCTGCAGCGTAGCTTTGCAGCACCTGGTTTAGGGTTTAGGGTTTAGGGTTTAGCTGGTCACCAGCCTTCTGCAAAATCGAAACCCTACTCTCAAAATCCTTAACCACAGACTCCGAAAGGTTCTGCACCCTTCTGAGCCCGAACTTTTAGACCCTGCACAGTGACTATAGTGACTAGGGTGTAGAACGGGGGTCGGAAGAATCAGTAACCCTACTACACAGAAGTCTGTGAACAAACTATAGCACCATAGCATGATACTGCCCAAAACTCCAGTCTACTTGTTAAAGGACCCGGCGAAGGACATGGGTTCCAAACTCTTCAGGCTTTACAGCTTAGGATCATTCCCTAAACCTTAAACCCCAAAGATGAAATTCTAACCCTGAACCCTCAACCCTAAACCCCAAACCCCTAAACCCTAAAACCTTGAACCCGGAAGCCTAAAATCCTTTAGGTTGCAGGGAAGGCATTCAGGGTTTCCGGTCTCTGGTCCTAACAGACCGCACTCAGGGCTCGAAGCCCTAGAGCCTGAAACCCTTAGGGTTTAGGGTTTAGGGTTTAGGGTTTAGGGTTTAGGGTTTAGGGTTTAGGGAACCGCGTAAACAACCCCTATAGAAACTGCATATTAGTTCGTCAAACTTTATAAGAGCATATTATAAGTTATACTAGTACAGTATAGTAACAGTATATTGCACACTAGTTTATTTTCTTCATAGATTACAGTGTATTGTAGAAGTCTTATACAACCCGGTCTGAACCCCTAAACCCTAAACCCTAAACCCTGAACCCCTTGCAGGTCACAGGAGGGGGCGGCGGTGGCGGTGGAGGCGCCAATGACCTGCCCACCGATGACTTCGACGCCTCTTGCATGCACGTGGGTAGTTCTCTAAATTAGGGTACCTTATTTTGGGGTCCTTATAATAAGGATCCTACTATTTAGGGTACCATATTAGGGTCCCCTATTATCGGACACCCCCATGTGCCGCAAAGGCAAGGGCTCCGGGTTTTCCGGTATTGAGGGCTTGGTGTTTCAGGGTTTAGGTAGGGGTTCGGGGTTTAGGGTTTCTGTTCATTTATCTAGAAACCCGACCCACTCCCAGGATGCAGGCTCCCTCTCCGTAATTCGGCGGTGTTGGGTCGTATCGTCGTCGTAATACTGGTGGTACCGGTACTTGTGACTAGTGCAGTCACAGTATTTTAGACTCCACCTCGTTTTGTTTGCCAGAGTGCCTTTCTTTGGGCGGTGTGGTGTAAGTTCGGTTTTTGGTGATGGCTCCTGTGGAAGATTGGTGTTGGTTTCCTTTGGCGGATACTTCCAATACACTGCTAATGTTTGGAAGTCAGAATAGAAACGAATAAGATTCTGGTCTAGTCACGATATACTTAATGCCTGTGTAATTATGATGTAGTAGTATGTTCCCTAACCCTAACCTTGGTCTAAGCAGGGTTTTGGAGCAATTCAGGGAATCTTATTGCTAATCATCCAGGCCACTAGATTGCGAGCAATATTACTTCCCAGAAAGTCCCCTAGTACAATTACAGCTATTATGTACCCCAAGCCCCTATTCAAACTTTTTATCCCTAAGCCCTGGCCCTAAAGTCTAGAAAAAACCCTTGTCCTAGTTCTATCTCTTAAAAAACCCTAAACCCTATCAAATCCTAAATAGCCATGTTCTACTCATTCAGACCCCTCTTACTCTGGTACTCAAGTGCCAATGAAGCGGTTCCACGAGCAGCTCGGGGACACCAGCAGCCGTTCGCTCTCTCCTCTCCTGCTCTCCCTGCCGCATATACGTCTTCTAGCAAGCGTGATAGAGCTTACGTATACATATATACTGTATATATGTATATGTACACATACATATATACACGTTAGACTTAAACAATTTTGTGTGTATGTCTGTGTCCACAATATTCTGTCACTGTAGTGCAGCGCAAATAGATACTCCCTGACTCGGTGAGCTCTACCTACAGTAACTTACTCTCTGTTCCCCGCTCTCTCCCTCCCTCCTCCCTGTTTCTATGTGCATTCAACGCACATGCAGCTGCATCTAATGCATGAACAAGTGTGTGTCTGTGTGTGTGGGCGTTGTGAATGTGTATGTATGTACATATATATATATATGTATATATATATATTTATATAGAGCATGCGCATATGTACATGTATAATTATCGAAGTTCAAACAGGCGTTCAACTCCATCCATCTAGCCATCCATCTATCTGCATGCACCGACTCGTATTTATCTTCATAACAGCCCACTCAGCCCCAGAACCTTACACCCTAAGCCTAAACCCTCACCCTAAACCCCAAACCCCAAAACCCTGCACCCCGAACCCTAAACCCTAAACCCTTACACCCTAAACCTTCTTTATCACATATATTTTAAATCAATGCAGTCGCTGAACAGGTTATTTTCCGTGTTTTCGCAAACTTCAGCGAAGAAATCGCCAACTCAACGACGATATCGCTATATTCAGCGAAGAAATCGTCGTATTCCATGAAGGGCTCGCTCTTCGTTGAATATGGCGATTGCTTCGTTGAATCTGGTTTTTTGCTCGCCAAACTCAACGAGGAAAAATCCATTTTCAATGAAGGCAGGCCTTTCGCTGAATATGGCGATTTCCCCGTTGAGTATGACCTGTCTTCCGCCAATTTCGACGAAGAAATCTCTAAATTGACCCTAAACCCTAAACCCTAAACCCTTCACCAAAAAAATACTCCGTTCGACAAAGGCCGGCCCTTCGTTGAATCTGGCGTTTCGTTTCGCCAAATCCTAGGGTTTTGGGGCTTAGGGTTTAGGGGTTTGGGAGCTTACTTGGGGTTTATAAGCTTTAGGGTTGTTGGGGCTTAGGGTTTAGGCCGGATTTAAGGCCCAGGGTCTTGAGGCAAAATCGAAGATACAGGGCTCCATAAGAAAATAGAACGGTGTCCTAATGCTAGGGGAATCTTGGGTGGGTGGGGTGATTTCTGATACCAAAGCAGCGAGCTCGACTAGAAACTGCTCGATCTGGAGCTGCTGAACCCTGAACACCCAAAAACCCTACACCCTAAAATATAAACCCTAAACAATGGTTCTAAACCCTATAAACCCTAAACAATGGCTCTAAACCCTATAAACCCTAAACAATGGTTCTAAACC